TATTCTGTATTTTTTTTTTTTAAATAATGATTATTTTATTCATAACACATGCGGAAAGGTGAAACTGAAGACTTTGCTGTCTGGGCGACGGGATGAAAATGAAGTCCTAGCACTTGCGAGGAGACGATTTCCCGTGTCAATCAAAGACATTACCAGTGTGTGCACCTCAGATTTATTAGAAGAATCTTCAATGGTTATGCCGTGGTTGACAGATGATGTAAGTATTGCTTACATGTTTTTGTTTAATTAACTATTCCTGTGTCTCCATTGCTATTACAGAGCTATTGCTATTATTATATCTCTTAATTGTAGGCTGTCAACTACCGAGTAGCACAACTGGCGGCCCAAGACAATACGGTGAATTGAAAAGTCATTTCGTAAATGAAAAAATAAGTTGGCATTGTTAAAGATAATATGTGCTATAATTTTGCAGTGTACTTCCCTGGGTACATATGACTTCATTTTATGGCACCGTGAGTGGACCAAAGATGGAACTGTCCGAGATCAGATTGTGAAGCAGATACCAGTAAGTACTACTTTATTAAAAAACAATTAATGAAATATTAACAATGTATTAATTATTAAATATATTAATTTATTCAATTGACAGTTTTTTATGTAAATGACTTTTGTTTTTTGTTACCTTAAAGCAATGTGGAAAAATATACCTTCCGAGGATTGTGGGTCATTCTTCTCCTGAGACTGGGAATCATTTCATTCTCTGGGTGAGCTATCACAAAGTGTTTTAGGTAGTTTTCACAACTTTATACATACAAAGAGTATTTAAACAAAGCAAAATAAAAACTTTAAAAAGTGGAAGTATTAAGATAATTTTGCAGAAATTATCTAAAATTTTGAAATTTATGAATGAAAACATGCTTGTCCTGTAGGTCTTTGACTTCAGCTGCAAAGAGATCCGGATATATGACTCCCTTTCACTTTACAAAAACATAAGTGATGACGACATGGCTTTACTCAGGTACAGGACGACTGATGCACACAACTTATTTGTACATTCATGAGAAGATATTGGTTACCTAAAATGCTAGCTCTGTTTTTTTCAGAAATGTGTTCAGATCTTCTGGTGGTCTTCAAGGTTGGACAGTAACATTTCCTCCACAGTGGAAGCAACAGGATTCTATCAATTGTGGAGTTTTTGTGTGTTCAGTGAGTTGCATTGCTTATGCAATACTTCCATAACAATTTTCTTTCTGTGGTTTAAAGAAATGTTTTTTGTTGTTGTTAGGCTGTTGAAAATGAAGTTCAACGTCACAAGGTCAGTGCAGAGCCTCTGACACTTAGTCAATGCCGGACCCTTCGTCTACATCATGCCAGTGAAATGTTGAAAAATGTTGATCCAAAGGTGAGTTTTTTTTGTCATCCATTACACTGTAATGCACATTACTTCAAGAAATAAGTTGTGAAGCAACATTTGTCTTTGCCAAATAGGATTTCCCCCCAACTTTAAAAGAAGCAATTGTAATGGAAAAAAAGGAAAGTAAACTTCAAGAAACAGAGCAGAGAGACACGGATTCAAGTATGCATTGTTTGGCCTGGAAGATCAGGACATGTTTGTTTCAGCGAGCAACAGGGAAAACATTGTATGTGTTGCACGAATTCAGTCTTACAGTACATTCAACTCTGCAAAATGTGAAGTGTTGTTATTAGGAAATGATATATTTAAGTTATTTTTAAAAATCTTACTTTAATATGTACTTTTGCTATGTTTTTATTTCTTCTCAGACTTTTCCACGGACACATTAAGAAGTACCGTTGGGTACAATGCACAACCTGTAAGAACTGGTTGCATTTTCAGTGTGCTGGTTTGCCAGAAGACTGGAATGAGGTGGACTTCTTTTGTGGATGCAGTGCAAACCCTGATATGTAAGAATTACTTATCTCATGTGAAAACAGTGGTTGTAATTGAATCAAACTTCTCTTAATTTTGAATTATAGCTTGAAGGACAGAATGTATTATGATGCACTTTATAATAAACCAGCTTAAGCAATTTAACAGTGCAGACCATGCAATTTTCTAAAATGAAAGCTAAATTACTAACTTTATGTTAAAATTGATTTCATAAAATTAAAGGATTACATGAATATCAAGGACTTAAGCTTAGGTTTGAAGAATAATGGAATTGAGAGGAAAAATACATACATTTACTTCTGGGTTGTATCATCACCTGCAAAGTTATGCTAATATTGATTTCTCTTAAACAGTGACAAGATTCTGCAGTCTACTAAAGCTGAAGACATTCTTACAGATTCAGAGATCAAGGTATTATCTTGCATTATGTAAATGATAATTAACTTTTAACTAATTAAATAAATAAAAAATGTTCTTACATATGAAATTTTGCAGGATCTGGAAAAGAAATTGCAGACCGGGGATATTCTGTCAAACAGGATGTATATGTGGAAACACAAAGGATTTGATCTACTCCTCCGCAAATTCTACAGTGACCATGACACCATATTTAATGATGTGATGGTATGTATTTGCTGGTTTAGGCAATACAATCCAAAAGCTTATATCAATATAAAAATCAATGGATGACCTTTACCATTGTACAGTATTAGTAAAGTAATGTCAGAATACTGAAAGGAAAAGTGGATCTCAAGCTGTGCAACTTCAAAGTCTGTACAGTTTGACATTACACAGCTTTCTCTTCATACTCATACTTTATTTTTTTTAACTTTGAACAATATTTTGGTTATAAGAAGAAATCTAAAATTATATATGAAAATACAATACAAAGTAATGACTTACTTTGATATCTATCACTGAAAGTCAATTGTTACGTGTAGGCTGTATACAAAATTGTAAAATACCAAATCTGGAGTGTGTTCTTACAATAAACATAAAACTAACAGACTGATCTAACAGCATCCCTTCTTGTTACAGACAGACATCCTCATCATGCGACTTGAAGACATCTTTTGCGTTCCTGGCAATGAAACTGCTGACCAACACATGATCACAGAAGTGATTCTGCCAGAGGTGAGCTAAAAAAGGATGTGAACACATCATTAGAGTCATGTGTTTAAAATAAATGTATTACTTATCTACTTATCAAAAATTTATGAAGTTGGTCTTGAATGTAAATCACAATTTCTACTATTGTTGATTTAAACACAGCATAATACAGTACTCATTGTCTTTTATACTAGTTTTGGGGTGTTTTCACATTTTATAGTTCAGTAGATTCCATTCGATTTTGGACCAATATTGCAACATTTCTTACATTTTCAAAAATGTACTTCCTGTTCACAATCCACTGAGTCAAACCACCCAAACTAACTGAACAACCTGTCCCCCCATCGCCAGTGGGGACGCAGCACCAACAACTACTCGAATCAGTACTTCGATTATGAACAACTGAGTCAGAATAAAAATGAATCTGAATCAGTTCAGATTCATTGAGAAATCTGATATTTGTAATACTTGTATAAATACCAGTATTATACATACTTGGATTTATAATACATGTATTATAAATAAAATTATTTCTAATTTTAAAGTAACTTGATCAGATAATAAAATGAAATTAGTAATTTTACAATAACTGTTCTGAAAATTTATATTTCTAGGTTGTGATCCAGTGGCTGCAAAAGAGCATGAGTCTTTGCCGGTACCAAGCAGAGGTTGTTCTTCAGAAAACGGTCCGGAAAGATTCAGGGTAAAGAACATTTATGTGTAGATATAGTAGACCAAGGGTATGAAAGAATTCATTACCGACTCATTCCTTATTTCTTATTTTTTTCTAGAGATAAAGTGAAAGACAAAACACCAGAAAAGGTAAAAAATTCAACAGTCACTTGATATTAAAAATAAATGATTATGTTCAATAAGTATTTCAATGTATGTGGTTTTGAAACCGTGGCTAAATGACAAAGGCACACAATAATCTTGCAATTATTTAGCTTATATGAGGTAAAACTTAAAATATTTAAATCTAGGTTAAATGGCCAATATCTACTATTTAAAGGGAACGGTATAAAGATAATAATCACACAAATCTATATTATTTTGTGCAGGACAGCACAATCATGAGGGACAGCAAGACAGCAGCCCAATGGTGCCAGAATGAGAATTTTTTGGGACAGCTCACACTTCCTGCTGTTCTGGATTATGATGTTCAACAGACAGAGGAAGCTCTCCATGACCTCAAGAACTGGGATGGAGAAACTGATGAAAATTGTCCAGTGGAGCCATTCACTTTGTGTTTGAAAAAAAGACCATGAGAAGTTCTGCTCAGAAATTTGTGACAAAAAAGGACTGAAGGTTTTTGCTAGATTTCAGTAAACATTTAAAATAAAAACATTGCAAAGATTTTTTGGTTATTGTTTTCATTGCTGTAGCCTATTTACATATGACATACAGGTAAGGAGGAAGACATAATAATTACAGAGCTTACAGAGTCTGATTATTATTACTATTATCCAGTTGCAACATGTCAGCCACTGTTCTGCGATATAAACATGGGCAAGGGTTGAATGTCATTTTGATTAAGTAAAAAGTCCTA